AGTGAAAAAAAGTCGATCATTTTCACTTTCTATAAAAATTTCTCTGAATGTTACGAAGGAAGACGCAGTTCCTTCTCCGGAACCAGTAAACCTTCTCAAAGAAATTTTAAGAAAGAAACATTGCGCTTCCGGGGAGGTCATCCCACGCTCATTACATTGCTCATTACATTACACTCTCGCGGGGAGGGTCATCCCACGCTCATTACGCTCACGAAAATAATTGATTTTTTTTACACATATTTATTATACTTACTTTCGTCCATTTTTGAAGTCGAATAAATATAAGCGTATTCTTAAGTGTCGTTATAAAAATGTGGACGAAAATTACGAAAGTTATAGTGTGTTAATTATTATTATAAGTATTATAAGTATGCGAAGTATGCGTTAAGTTTTATTCAGGGGAATAGAGAAAAAAGTTAGGAACTGAGTAGAAAAAAGAAAGGGAAACTGGAGTAATTATATACGTAAAGATCACTTGAAAAAAAAAAAAATGGTCATATATGTATACTTTTTTGAATACATCGTGACACTATCGTGACATAGACTCTTTTGGTGGTTTGTAGTGATACTGATAAACTTTTTTTACTAACATTTCATCATTTTTTCAATCATGTCATCTCAACCAAAATATTCATCATATTCCCTATTAGTTTTAGTATTATTACCATCAATTAAAACTTTTTATTCGGCACGAAGTGCCGAATAAGTGATTTATCCGGTATCCCGTGATTTGAATATTGTTAGATGGTACATGATGTCACCAATGGAAAGAACTCAATTTTGATCTTATCTATTTTAATAAATAATAAAACATAACCAATTCTATTGATGTACAAACGAGTGCTACGGAGATGAGTGGTGTAGGGCCAAGGAGATGTGTAGTGTATGGTCCCTATGTGACAGTTTACACAGGTGATAAATAACACGACGGGCCAAACACGTGATTTTGAGTGGGCCGAAATGCTATTAATCACCTGTGTATGGTTCACACCCCTTATTTTACACACTGTTACACACTGCTAAATATCACCATACACCACACAAGTGGTCGACCCTACACCACTGGTATTCGTCTTACCGTGTACAAACATAGCACGTTGATACCCATTAATTTCACAATTCCAATTTTTTTTATTAAATTTATTATATCTATTATATACCTTAAATATTTTAACACTAAAGTAATAAAGTCGATAAAGCCGATTAAATAAATCGTTCTTTTATATTAGAAGAATTTTGATCGAAAGTTGCCAATTTAAATTTAAATGCGAAGGATGTATATGTTTCTGCAATGAGCAATGAACAATCACGTGAATTTCTCTGTCTCTCACGTGGACGTCATTCAAATCGCAAATTTTATAACGGTTTAAAAGGTAGACCCATTAAAAAATTGATTTGTGAATGGATCATTCGAAATTTGGGTTGGTAATCGTATAAATCGATTTGGTATAAGTGTTTTATACCTAAAATGTCGTTGATATCGACGTCTCCGAATAATACGAGCGACATAAGTTGATGAGACGATAGTAGGATAGTATAAACGAGTTGAAGTATCAGGTTGATTATCCCGAGAATTGTTTAAAACATTTGACGAAATATGATCCATTTGAGCTTCGTAAAAAATTTATGAAATAAAATTTAAAAATATAATAGGTAACTTTTAAAAAAAAGGTGAATTATTATAATTATTATTTTTTAAAAAAGAAAATTATAATAAGTATATATCATGTCTTAATAAACGTATCTCTTTTTTTTTTTATATGATAACATAATTTAGTTTATTTTATAATGTTTACAAATAATTTCCTATATTATTAATGAAAATCGTAAAAAAAAAAAAAATTTTTTTAATTTNTTTTGTTCCCTCAAAATAATTTCTTCATAAAGGAAAAGTATATTATTAACTAATGAAAATCACAGAAGAAAATTATTTGAAGGAAATTATTTGAAAAAATAATGAGTATTTTTAAAAAAATTCGTTAAAAGCGACTTTTATAAATTTTTTTTTACTATTTATTATTTAATTTCCTAATCTATTAATTTCAACTCGGATAAACTCGGATAACTATTTTTATTTTTATTTGTATTTTTATTTTTATCTTTTATTTTATTTTATTTTATTTTTGACTTATCAATTTCATTATTTTCCGTAGTAAAATTTAGATATCTAGATCGAATTAGCAAAGGGAACAAATTTATTATAAAAGTTTATTTGTTAAACGTTATTTATGCACATTGATATTGGCGTAATAATTACAATTGGTAGAATTCCCCCAATTTTAATATTACCTTATTCAGTTTATCAGTTATGCATTTTATGCATTGTGAAACTATATCTCACTTTCATGTATTTTGGCTTTTTTTTTTTTAATATGATAACATAATTTAGTTTATTTTATAATGTTTACAAATAATTTCCTATATTATTAATGAAAATCGTAAAAAAAAAAAAAATTTTTTTAATTTAATAAAGGAGTCAAAACATCCTTGAATTACCTTAGTGACACCATTTAGCACCAATCAAGTAGTATCAACTTGTTGCCAATTCACATAGTTATAATTTCCTTTTTTTAAAAAAAGTCTTTTTATATGAATGATGATTAAATTTCTGAGCCGTTATCGATTTTATTTAATAGTTATAAAATTCAATTACTAATTACAATCATATTATTTTAAAACATGCAAGATAAGCGCGATTTCTAAACCTGTTAATTATCTAAATTTTACTCGGAATTATACAAAATAATACAATCTTAAATTTAAACGACGTTCCGAAGCATTAATCAAATTATTTAAGCCATTATGCAACAATTTTCCCGAGTCAGAACTGAGTTATGTTTTCCCCACCTTTTTTTTTCATGCAAATAATCAATCATCGTATAACAAATCAAACGATAATTTGATAAATACACAAGTAAATAGTTTTTTTTATGTAATCTGTGTCTGTGAAATGATTGTTGGTTAATTAACCGTAACCTATAATAATTTTTTATTTAAATATAAAAATATATATATATATTGTATAAAATCATCCGCTTTTGATAAAAAAAAATATTATGGACGCAGCAACGGCAAACAATCAAATTCGTTCCGGAATTAGATCCGAAAGCGATTTTTTTTTAAAATTAAAATATGATTATAATTTGTTCTTGAAAATTACCAAATTTAGAATATCCCTGAAATTTATTTTTATAAACCGATTATATATGTATATATATATATATATTTTTAGAAAAAAAAGAACCAATCTTCTTATTTATTTGACTTATCATTTTTTTCCCCTAAAATTTTTTTTTAAAAAAAAATTGATAAGGCGTTTGAAGGCGTTTGAATACTAAATTTAGTAATATCAAATCACCAATACTAATCGGATATAAATTCCGATTTACTATTTTTTTCGTAAAGATAATGAAAAATTTATTATTTAAATTATATTTGAAAAAGGATCACAGCAGAAGGTAATTTAACTTTTATAACTATTAACAGTATTTCGGTATAGCTTAATTTAGAAATAATAAATGAAGCAATTATTAAGGTTTCGAAAATTTCCAAGTAAAACCTGAGAATTACCAAATTTAGAATACACTATGAAATATTTAAAGTTCCGAATAAAATTTAAAGATTTCCGGTTAGTTTGTTTTTATGTATAGATTATCGTTTCTTTTATATCATCTAATGAAAAAAAAAGTATGGGGAAATGATATCATTAATATTTGGATCTGAGTAATGCATTTTTTGAAAAAAAAAAAACGGTAAAAACGTCTAAAACATACTGTAAATATTATATAAATATTATATATATACTTTTACATTTGATAACGTCGTGTCCAGATGTCCGACAATTCCCAATTATTCTGCTCATCCTGATTATATAATACAGTATAATTGTTAATTACCAATTTAGCGACGGAAAAAACTTTTGACTATATAGAAAATTTTTTTCATAAGGTTGTAAAAATATTGTACGACCACGTTAATTCTAATTAAGAAATTTTTTGTTATACAAAAACGAATTTTTAATTGCTGTCATATCTGTCATTATTATTAGTTGTTTGAATAATAAACTTTTTCCCATTTAATCCAAAATTGTAAATCAATCAAAGATTACTTTCTACTTCTTAATATGGTTTAATCATTGTGCTACTTCATTAATCCTTACGTGATTACACTTTCCATGTCGTCATTATACGTCAAACCGAAAAAGTCCATAATGTCAATTTCATTATTTTCATGTTTTAGGAAGAGAGTACAAAACTATTATCCGATTCCGAAAAAGTTTAAATAAGTCCGGTATAATGTAACATTTATTATAAAAGGTCAACGATAAGCTATCATGTTAGGCCGGAGTAAAGAAAAATCATCTAAATCTTTTTTATTCGGAACAATCTCCGATGAAATTTATTTTATATAAAAAAAAAACCTTGAATTATCCAAATTAGTATTTAAAAGGGAAAATTTACCTGAGTAAACTTAAAAAATATATAAATCAGTTCATTTAACATCGAATTCAGCCATTCGACGTCGTATGGTACAGCAACGCCAAAATAGATTTTTTAGTAACCAAATTAATGTGATTGGTTACCAAATTTAGAGTTACCCTTGAAATTTTTTTTTTTCTTTTTTTCTTTTATAAAATAGAATTCAACCTACTTTTTTGTTCCTGTAAATATTCTTTAAGTTCGTTCCATCGAGAACATTTTTCTTAGTGTGTTACTTCGAGTTAAAATGAACAATACGGTAATTTTCTTAAGATAACCCTTCCTTTCCATTTTAAAGAATAGGCGTTAACATTAACAAAAAAAAATAATAAAATTTTTTTTAAAAAAAAATATTAATTATTTACTTTACTGCTGTTAATTCATAATGACCGACCTATAAGGAACAATAAAAACAAAAATGCGGTAAGTTTAACTTTTTTTTAAGAAAAAAGGGAACCGAACATAGAAAAAAAAAAGAAACCTTATATAAATGAAATTTATTTTTTTTTTAAAAAAAAAGAAATGGATAATCATCAATCTCAGCGTGGAAAGAATATTTTATATGAGAAACATACGAAGGACGGTTTTGGTTCCATCAATCGATTACAATAAAACTTAATTTCAAAATTCATCAAGAAAACATGCATCGACTCATGTCATGGTTTATAATGACGTTACAACTTTATTTACCAATTGCAATCTCTTTATCTTCCCTCCATGTCTCTTTCGAAAATTATACCAATTATACCTCCTCTCCCTTACACATTATTAGTACGACCATATTTGTTGTTTTTTATTTATTGCTCAATTGAATTTCTAATCACATTTTTCCACTATTTTTAGGGTTTACATTCTTGGTGCTAATTAGTACTTTTTTGTACTGGAGATCTTGATGTCGAAGCAAATACAACGAGAATCATCTTTTAAAAAACCATAGAAGGTGACACTCAACTTATTCCAGATGATCCTCGACCCATAATTGAAAATCAACTCAAAAAAATTCTTCAACCGCACAAAAAATCGGTCGTTTTATATATGATTTGTGCCGAATTTGGAACCGAGAAAGCTTTATCAATCAAAAAGGTATCAAAAAAAATTGGACATGGCATAATTCACGTTAATGTTCCTTATGACGTTGAAGATTTTGGGATAACATTTGGAGAAGCATTCAATTTTGAATTTGAGGAGGATATAACTCTTAAAAAAAAACTGATACGAAAGATCGGAGGTACTGATGGTGAGTTAATTATCACTGCACTTTTGTAAAATTCATCATTTTTTGACTCTAATTCTTTTTTTTGATAGGTAAATTGATGATTCCTGTATGGAAGTGAGCCTTGAATGCTTTTAAGATATCTTAACAAGTTTAATGCAGATAATAGTGTTTGCTGCTAGCGAAGGAGTTGATTTGTAGGTATGATAATTTTGGTCTTGAGAGAAATATATATATCTTACTTACGACCGTGATTCTTATTTAAGTAAGTCCTTCCTGGTCCCAAGGAACAAATCCACCAATGGAAATCGGTAACATTAGCGAAGAAGAAAGAATCAATGAAATATCTAATTGAGAAGCGTAAGATCAATGAAGCAAAAACTAAAGTATTATATCGGTGGACTGCATTTTGGAATTGAAAGCTATTGCAGATGGTACTATCTACTGAAGGTAGAAATTAGGTTTATTATCTTGCAACCAAATTTTTACAATTCTGCTTTGAATAATAACTTAATTCTTTTTTTCATAGATATTAAAAGTTCCAAAGAAATTATTATTTATATATTGTCAAGCAAAACTTGAATGATGATCAGTTTGATATCACAGAAATATAAGAAATGAAATAATATTTAACAGCAATTATTGGAATTAGGAACCAAAATAGAAAAAATAGTTAAGGAAAACCATTCGATTCGGATCAGAATTTCAACAATATAAAAACAAAAATCAAACAATTAGAACTACAAATCAACCCAAAACCGTGAATAAGCAACAACATACACAAATGAAAATAACAAAAGAGTTAGAATTGAAAATGATTGCCAATAGTGATAAACTAGCAGATCGGGATATGACCTGATCCATCCTTAAAAAATTTAAAAAGATTTATGTTTGAAATCCTTCCAATCTTGTAGGTATTTGCAATTGATATTCTTTGTTCTAATCAAATTTTAACCTTTCTTTTTTATTTTAGTTTTGATTCATATATGCATCCAGATAATCCTTTAAAAAATAAAGATCTAGCCGAAGATGAATACATGGATAACATATTGATCCAATACTAAAAAAAGCTTTAGCGTGATAGGGCGAAGGATTACACTAATCACGATAGTCAAAGACGCGGTATTTATAAAATTCTTTGTAGAATAATGAGGAGGAATACAGAGAGATTTTAAGAGCTAACGTATTTTCGTTTCATCAAGAAGTACAGTGAGTTTTCAATCGCGATCAATAGAATATTCTGTTCGTGAAAACTCTAATATGTTCGTTGATTTAATAAATCTCGCTCCTACTGATGATATTGATAAATTCAATTCTAATCAAGCGTCAATCTCCAAATCATAGAAAATCAAGATGCGAAATGTAATCAAACAATTGGAATCGATCAACATATAGCACCCGAAAATAAGAAAACTATGCAATGAGGAATATAATATATATGTTGCTAAAGAATAAATTTATTATTTGTTTTTTCTTGTGATACAAAATAAAACGTTTGATTTTTTCAATGTATAAAAAACTAAAGCACAAATTAAGAGAAGATAGACAAAATAAACGAAATAAAATAAATGACATGTTTTTAAGGGAGAGGGACGCGAATCCTACCTAGGCTATTTAGTGCGAGTCCCTGCGTCATATTTTTTCTTCGCTCTTTTATATTTTCGCTAATATTGTTAATTACAAGATTCTTACTACACTTTATCTCTAAACATATAATTTCCGAAATAATCGATCCAACCCATATATCATATTCGAGAAATTATTTTGTGGCATGTGATTATACACGTGTTGGTGACAATATATCCGTTTTGACTTTGTACACCTATAAAAATCGGAAAAAAATGATTAGCATCGTATTGATGTTCTTTTAGAACTATTCGAGCAATAAAAACAAGATACCTTATTAAATGTCGTTTGATAAATGATATTGACGATGTAAACTTGATTAGTTTCACAAGACATAAAGAGATTATTAAATGATCTAGAATCAATATTTAGTAAATATGACCTCAACACGAAAATCAGATAACACAGACGCCTCTAATCTCTGTAGATGTTATATATGCGGATCATGTTATGTCGAACCAAGTATAGCATGGAAACTCAAATAAATTTTAGGTTAGGAAAATCGTTCTCCAGTAGAATGATGAATTAACTGTTTATCATGAACATCTTCGCTTAATCACGCTTGTACTTTAGTTGACTATGGGATAATTAATAAACGAAATGAATACGAAAATATTATTTAAGAATTTCTGAATTGAACGAAGAAATTTTTAAAGAGAGAACAATGAGAACAATACCATTGAATTACTATAATGAAAGTTACCTTCGTTATAGTATCAATAAATAGTTTTCTTTAAATTTCTTAAATTTCTGCAGTTGTTGCAATAATACTATAGAAACCCGCTTAAATAAACAATCACCCCTATTACCTAATAGACATCAAGTGACAGTAATCAAACAAATTGAAACTGGCATATAATTTATAGAAAAATGATAAATTATGGGATAAGGAAGATCCCGACCTTATAAAAAATTTTATCCGTTATTTCTGTAAAAACTCCGTAAAAATGAGCCTTTCACGGAACAATTTATAAAAAGAAACTTAGGTAGCGAAGGACTACACTCCCGCGCAAAAAGTTTAGGACCACCCTATTTTTGATTACATTAAATAAAGGTTTGTTCTTATTTATATAAATTTTTTTTAAAAAAATTATTTATATTATAATTTTTAAATAAACATAAAAAACTATCATATTTGCATTTATAAATCATATAATATAAGGTTTTTTTTTTTAATAATGAATTTTTAACTTTTTAACTAAAGCAGTTACAGTGAAATGAATACAAAATTTTAATAGTTTAGTTAATGATAAAGTTATATTCCAAATTTCATGAAAATCGAGTCAGTAGTTATCGAGAAATCAACTATTAAAATATTGACAATTATATATGGAAATCATTACTTTGTTAGGTCTCACATATAAATTGTCAATCTTTGATAGTTAATTTCTCAATAACTACTGATTCAATTTTTACGAAATTTGAAATATAATTTTATTTAAAGCTAACTATTTAAATTTTATATTTATTTTTGTTGTAATCACTCTAGTTGAAAAGTTACAAATTCACCATTGAGAAAAAAACCTTGTATTATGTGATTTATAAATGTCAATATGAATTTTTTAAATTTATTCAAGAAATTGCAATAAAAAAATTTTTTTTAAAAAAAAAACTCATATAAATAAGAATAAAATTTTATTTAATATAATCAAAAATAGAGTGGTCCTAAACTTTTTGCGCGGGAGTGTATATACAGTACCCGGAAAAAAGTCAAGGACCAGCAGTAAATTACGATAATCGTTATGAAAATATCCTTCTATATAAATTTTTTTTTTAATAATTAATATGTCATATGTAATAAGTAAAGTTGATCATTGATCATCGAATTGAATTGCATCTACTCTAAAAATTTTTATGAACTGAAAAAAATTGATTGTTATATTTAATTTTTTTTTAAAAAAAAAATAAGAAAAATTAGTCGGTAACGCCATTTATAAACTGTCGCAAATATTCAAAAATTATGCAAATTCCTACAGATAATATAAAATATTCTACGATAGTAAAGATTTTATAAATTACTACAAAGTATCATCAAAATAAACAAAAGTCTGCCGTAAGTTACACATTTTAACAAAGATGATCGGTATCCATTAGTTATTTACAAAATATTAATTAAAGAACAAATTATTGATCTTTGAATTCTCATTACATTGAATTGCTATAATGAAAGTTACTTTCGTTATAGTATCAATAAATAGTTTTCTTCTTTAAATTTCTGCAGTTGTTGCAATAATACTATAGAAACCCGCTTAAATAAACCATCACCCCCAAGTGATAGTGATCAACAAATGAAAATGTCATCTAATTTATAGAAAATGATAAATTATGGGATGAGGAAAATCCCGATCATAATAATAAAGACAATTATAAAAAGAAACTAAGAAATTTGGTAGTGAAGGACTATATACTACTACCCGGAAAAAACGATAATCGTTATGAAAATATTCATCTATATAAAGTTTTTTTTTTTAGTAATTAATATGTCTTTTGTGTAATAAGTAAAGTTGACCATCGAATTGAATTGCATCTACTCTAAAAATTTTTATGAATTTCTAAAATTGATTGTTATATTTTATGGGTTATTAAATAAATCGGATTTTAATAAAAAGTATTTAGGTATAATATAACATTAAAAAATTTTGTTTTATTATTGTTTCATTTTTTAAATAAAATTATTTATTCAAAGTTTATAACATATTACTACAAAGTATCATCAAAATAAACAAAACAAGTCTGCCGTAAGTTACACATTTTAACAAAGATGATCGGTATCCATTAGTTATTTACAAAATATTAATTAAAGAACAAATTGTTGATCTTTGAATTCTCATTACATTGAATTGCTATAATGAAAGTTACTTTCGTTATAGTATCAATAAATAGTTTTCTTTAAATTTCTGCAGTTGTTGCAATAATATTATAGAAACCCGCTTGAATAAACAATCACCCCTATTACCATAGACCAAAGTGATAGTGATCAAACAAATTGAAACTGTAAATTATGGGATAAGGAAGATCCCGACCCTATAAAAAATTTTATCCGTTATTTCTGTAAAAACTCCGTAAAAATGAGCCTTTTACGGAACCATTCACGGAAAATGTAAATAATTCGATAAATTCCGGGATATAAGGTTATTAATTCCGGAAATATGAGCCTTTTACGGAAAAAAGATGGAATATAAAAACGGATCGAACTTTTTTTACAGGGCGATCATAATAATCAAGACAATTATAAAAAGAAACTTGGTAGCCTGGAAAAAAGTCAAGAACCAGTAGTAAATTACGATAATCATTATGAAAATATCCTTCTATATAAAGTTTTTTTTTTTAATAATTAATATGTCTTTCATGTAATAAGTCATTGCGGCGGATTTATGAAATTTGGCAAAAACCCTGCTGCGCCCTCGGGAATTAAAATTGACTTACAGAAACATTAAGCTTTTTCCTAAAAAATGTCAAATAATGACGCACCTTATACTGGAAAAATTGGTTAGA